AATTCTACTGTAATGCTTTTCCATGTGCCACTTTTCAAATCCTGTCTTGGTATGATGCTTGTCAACTTTCATGTGGGAACATCTTGACTCCTGTGCTAAATTATGAGTCCTCTGGGATCATGAGTTGCATCTTATACTGTATCCTATCCTCCTGAAGCATTATACACAGTGCCTGGCACACAGCGGGTACTTAAAAGTTTGGTAATCATCTCACCATACAGCGTTTCTTTCACAGGCCTGGCAGTAATGACTCTGATCTGCCACCAGAGGGCAGCAAGTTGTATCTCTCAGCTCACATCTGATACGCAGACCAGAGCATCCTTGTTCAAGACGAATTTGACTTTGCCCAAATGCACGGTGAGCCATGCTTCAGGGTTCACTGGGGTATTTGTTGGGGGCGGGCAGGTGAACCTCAGCCTTGGGAGGACTTACACACCATCACAGCCACACCACTCCACCCTCCCCTGCTTCCCCTGCATGCTCACCCCTGAGGGCTGCTCAGGAGACAGAGAGGCCTAGTGACCTGAAGTTGGAGGAGGCAGCAGTGGTCCACTCTACTGAAAGTCTTGGCCTAGTCCCCTGGGATGTGTCCAGGCTGTTTTAGAGAACGGGGAATTATGAAGCCATACAAGAACAGTGCCCTCCCTTCTTTGCCTTCCATGCCTGGCCTCCCTCTTTCAGTACCATGAAGACTGCACAGCAGAAGTGGTCTGGAAATGGGGAGCACTGCAGTGAAGGCAGAGCCACAGGGCTGAAGGCCCATTCAGGGCCCAACTGTGCCACTTAGCGGACATCCCATCTTGGAAACTGACCTTCTTTCTCATGGTAAAAGAGAGATTACCAAAAAACTCAGGAAAAAGATTCATGTATGTGAGGGCCCCTTGTAACCTCTAAGACATCCTTCAAACATGGTTATTTGTGGGGAGAAGGAAGGCCCAGACATTCTGTGATCACTTAAGTCTGGCCTGACAGTCATAAACCAAGAAGGCCCATGTGAAGTGCATGTGGTCAACTAGCCAGGTCCCAGCCAGCTTCCCAGAGGGCCCAGTCCTGGTGGTGCAACTTAGCATTTAAATTCCCACACCCAGTGGCTCTCTATGATTTCAGGGGTGCTTATTTTCTCTTTGCAACTAGATGCAAATGATCACAATAACTCCCTGAATCTAAACAGCATTCATTGTACAGTTTACAACGTGTTTCCATTTCTGTCCCCATTTATGATGGGAAGGTTCTAAGATGGCCCCAAATGAGCCCCTCTCCCCTGGCAGTCATGTCTTGTGTACTCCCCTCCCCTTGAGGAGGGGTGCCACCTGTGACTTGCCTCTAACTAACTGAATACAGCAAAGGGGACGGGATGTCACTCTGTGAGTAGATTCTCAAAGATTCTGACTTCCCTCTTGTGAGCCAGCTCTCGCCCTGGCTGGTTTTGATGCAGCAAGTTGGATTCTGGGGAGGCCCATGTTGTAGCAAGGAACTGAGGATGGCCTCTGGCCCTCAGTCCAATGGACAGCAGGGTATTAAAGCCATCAATCCAATGGCCCAAAAGGAACCGAACGACCACTTATGTGAGAGTGGAAGTGAATCCCTCCCCAGTTGAGCTTTCAGATTAAACTGTAATCCCAGTGGACACCTTGAATGCAGCCTCACGACCAACCCTGAAACGGTGAACCAGCTGGCAATGCTTGGATTCCTAACTCACAGAAACTGTGAGATAATCGATGTGTGTTCTTGCAAGCTGCTAAATTGTGGTAGTTTGTTATACAGAGAAAGATAACTAACACATCTCCTTTGAATCACATAAAAACCCCACTCACAGGAGGGAAAGCCAGACCTTTATACGATTTGCCTAAAGTCATACAATAGCAAGTGTCTGAGTCAGGACCCAAGGGCCAGTGCTGTGGTGTTTCTGTCACACCAGTTGCCTGATTAATTTCCTGAGGCCTTGAGAACAAGGTTCCTACATTCCCTCGCAGGGCCTAGGAGCTCTGGACAGAATGGATTCAGTAGTGACCAACTCAGGGGCTGAGGACAGCCAACAAGGACAAACCTGTTGCCAACTGCAGGCCCCCGGGGCCCGCCCTCTGTGACCAGGACTTTCTGGAGCTCCCTCTCCACCAACACCTCCCTCTACCCAGCATCCGGGCACCTTCTCCTGTGCCTCACACTTACGTGAAACAGCTGGAGCAGCGACAGCCCAGTCACGCAGGCTGTGCCTGAGCAGACAGCAGCTGGGGGCACGTCATGGCCAAGGGTGTCAGTCCCTGACAGAGAAGAGAGGGGAAGGTCAGTGAGAGCTGGAAAGGGAGGCTGAGAGGACAGATGGGCACATGCTGGCACCTGGTTGTGACCCCAAGACTCTGGAGTGGACATCCCCAAGGGGGCTTGTTTCCTGACCTCCACAGCTGTCTTGGTCTGAGGTCCCTGAGCCTAAAAACCTGAGGTCAGACCTCTAAGGCCACATCCTATCCCGTCCTTGTTTCCCTCCCTCAGTGCCGCTGTCTGGAACCCTTGCCCAATGCACCATGAGGACAAGAGCCTCTCCCTGCTCTGGGAAGCAAGGCTCAATGGGGGAAGGGAGTCCAGCTGCCTCTTTCATACTCCACTGGAGAATGCTGACCTGTCCCCTGGCGGATGTGTCCTTGTTGGCTGCATGGCCGATCCCCTCTCTCTGGCCCCACACACCTCTTTCCCATCTCCTTCCCCATTCTTTCCTGGGCCTGTCCGTATTCCCAGTACCCAGAGCTGATCACTCCTTTCTCTTACTCCAGTATCCCGACTTCCTCAGGCCAACCCACCAACCAGACAGTTGGATGGGTAAGTTCACGCTGATGTGCTGATGGAGGAGGGGGAGGTGAGACCCTACTGAGGAATCCAGTGTAGTCTAATTACGGGGGGGGGGTCCCTTCAAGCCATAATTCTTTACCCACTCAACATGGAGCGTCTAGGCCCTACATTGGGAATGGGGTGGGGGTGTGGTGGAGGGAGGAAGGACGCCTCCTGGTGGTGATGCTGGGCCCCTGCTCACGTGCCCCACTGGGTGTATTTGTATTGGGGAGGGAACTCAACCATTAACGGGATGCACTGAGCCACCTTCCACAAGGACAGGGCCAACCACTTCCAGGTTCTCTACCTCAGCCAGAAGCTGGAGGTCAAAGGACAGACATTTTCATGCCTCAAGGACTGGCACCACAACTACTGAGCCTGTGTTCTAGAGCCTGCGAGCCACAACTACTGAGCCCATAAGCCACAACTACTGAAGCCTGTGTGCCTAGAGCCCGTGCTCTGCAACAAAGAGAAGCCACCGCAATGAGAAGCCCACACACTGCAACGAAGAGTAGCCCCTGCTTGCCGCAACTAGAGAAAGCCCACATGTAGCAACGAAGACCCAATGCAGCCAAAAATAAATAAATTTTTAAAAAAGCAATGGGGCTGGCACAAGTTTTAATCTAGGGGCAGTGGCAGATTTCTCTCACTAAATACATTTTAAAGTAAAGGGATATTTGGATCATACATCATGATCAAGTGGGATTTATCTCAGGGATGCAAGGATTCTTCAATATATGTAAATTAATCAATGTGATACACCACATTAATAAATTGAAGAATAAAAACCATATGATCATCTCAATAGATTCAGAAAAAGCTTTCGACAAAATTCAACACCCATTTATGATAAAAACTCTCCAGAAAGGGGGCATAGAGGGAACATATCTCAACATAATAAAGGCCATATATGACAAACCCACAGCAAACATCATTCTCAATGGTGAAAAACTGAAAGCATTTCCTCTAAGATCAGGAACAAGACAAGGATGTCCACCCTCGCCACTTTTATTCAACATAGTTTTGGAAGCCCTAGCCATGGCAATCAGAGAAGAAAAAGAAATCAAAGGAATCCTAATTGGAAAAGAAGAAGTAAAACTGTCACTGATTGCAAATGACATGATACTATACATAGAAAATCCTAAAAATGCTAGCAGAAAACTACTAGAGCTCATCAATGAATTCGGTAAAGTTGCAGGATACAAAATTAATACACAGAAATCTCTCGCATTCCTATACACTAAAAACAAAAGATCAGAAAGAGAAATTAAGGAAACAATCCCATTTACCATTGCCTCAAAAAGAATAAAATACCTAGGAATAAACCTACCTAAGGAGACAAAAGACCTGTACTCAGAAAACTGTAGGATACTGATCAAAGAAATAAAAGATGACAAAAACATATGGAGAGATATACCATGTCCTTGGGTTGGAAGAACCAATATTGTGAAAATGACTATACTACCCAAAGCAATCTACAGATTGAATGCAATCCCTATCAAATTACCAATAGCAGTTTTCACAGAATTAGAACAAAAAATTTTACAATTTGTATGGAAACACGAAAGACCCCGACTAGCCAAAGCAATCTTGAGGAAGAAAAATGGAGCTGGAGGAATCAGGCGTCCTGACTTCAGACTATACTACAAAGCTACAGTAATCAAAACAGTATGGTACTTGCACAAAAACAGAAATATAGATCAATGGAACAGGACAGAAAGTCCAGAGATAAACCCATGCACCTATAGTCACCTAATCTATGACAAAGGAGTCAAGACTATACAGTGGAGAAAAAAATAGTCTCTTCAATAAGTGGTGCTGGGAAAACTGGACAGCTACATGTAAAAGAATGAAATTAGAACACTCCCTAACACCATACACAAAAATAAACTCAAAACGGATTAAAGATCTAAATGTAAGGCTGGCTACTATAAAACTCTTAGAGGAAAACACAGGCAGAACACTCTTTGACATAAAGTGCAGCAAGATCTTTTTTGATCCACCTCCTACAGTAATGAAAATAAAAACAAAAATAAACAAATGGGACCTAATTAAAAGCTTTTGCACAGCAAAGGAAAACATAAACAAAATGAAAAGACAACCCACAGAATGGGAGAAAATATTTGCAAATGAATTGATCAACAAGGGATTAATCTCCAAAATATACATACTGCTCATGCAGCTCAATTATAAAAAAAAAATAATAACCCAATCAAAAAAATGGGTGGAAGGTCTAAATAGACATTTCTCCAAAGAAGACATACAGATGGCGAAAAAGCACATGATAAGATGCTCAACATCACTAATTATTAGAGAAATGCAAATCAAAACTACAATGAGGTATCACCTCACACTGGTCAGAATAGCCCATCATCAAAAAATTTACAAACAATAAATGCTGGAGATGGTGCTGAGAAAAGGAAACCCTCCTACACTGTTGGTAGGAATGTAAATTGGTACAGCCACTATGGAGAACAGTATGGGGGTTCCTTAAAACACTAAAAGCAGAACTACCATATGACCCAGAAATCCCACTCCTGGGCATATACCTGGAGAAAACCATAATTCAAAAAGATACATGCACCCCAATATTCACTGCAGCACTATGTACAATAGCCAGGTCATGGAAGCAACCTAAATGTCCATCAACAGAGGAATGGATAAAGAAGATGTGGTACATACATACAATGGAATATTACTCAGCCATAAAAAAGAACAAAATAATGCCATTTGCAGCAACATGGATGGACCTAGAGATTGTCATATTGAGTGAAGTCAGTCAGACATAGAAAGACAAATATCATATGATATCACTTATATGTGGAATCTTTAAAAAAATGGTACAAATGAACTTATTTACAAAACAGAAGTAGAGTCACAAATGTAGAAAACAAACTTACGGTCACCAGGGGATAAGGGGCCGGATAAATTGGGAGATTTGGGATTGACACATACACATTACTATATATAAAATAGGTAACTAATAACGACCTACTGTATAGCACAGGGAACTTTACTCCATACTCTGTAATGACCTATATGGGAAAAGAATCTAAAAAAGAGTGGATAGGACTTCCCTGGTGGCACAGTGGTTAAGAATCCGCCTGCCAATACAATACAATACGGGTTTGAGCCCTGGTCCGGGAAGATCCCACATGCTGTGGAGCAACTGAGTCCGTGTGCCACAACTACTGAACCTGTGCTCTACAGCCCGTGTGCCACAACTACTGAAGCCTGCATGCCTAGAGCCCATGCTCTACAACAAGAGAAGCCACTGCAATGAGAAGCCCGCACACCGCAATGAAGAGTAGCCCCCGCTCGCCGCAACTAGAGAAAGCCCGCACCCAGCAAAACAACCCAACGCAGCCAAAATAAATAAATTAATAAATTAATTAATTTTTTTTAAAAAAGAGTAGATATATGTGTGTATGTGTAACTTTGCTGTACAGCAGAAGCTAACACAACATTGTAAATCAACTATATGTCAATAAAAATTTTTAAAAAATAAAGTGATAGACCTTCAGTGAGATTCTGATCAATAAAAGTGAGAGAAAACATAACTATAGACTAGGAGAAATGAAAATGGATATTACCACATATGCTGCAAACATAAGGAAACTAAAGGGTATTAAAAACAACCTTATGCTAATAATCTAAAAATACAGATGAAATGAATGCATTTATGGAATAATGTAACCTACTAACATCTCAACAAGTAAATTACTTGAAACATATTATAATGTGAAGAATCAAATCATCAAAAATTGACTTTCAAAAAAAAAGAAGAAAAAGAAAAAAGAAAACACCTAGGCCCAGAGGGCTTCACCAGAAACACCTACCAAACATTTAATAAAGAAATCATTCTATCTTACACAAAGCATTCCAATAACAGAAAAAGAAGAAACATTCTAAGTCATCTTATTATCATTTTTCACTAGCAAAAAACAGTAAGAAAATGTAATTTTAAAGACATCATATAGAATGATGATAAAGTTATTAGGTCCTAGGTATATACATAACACAAGCTATACAGAGACTTTATGTAGAAATCTATAAAATTTTATTTTTATAAAAACTTTTAAAGGTTACTAAATAAATGGAGGGGTATACTAAAAAAATTAAAGTTAAAAAATAAAGGGAGGGCTTCCCTGGTGGCGCAGTGGTTGAGAGTCCGCTTGCCGATGCAGGGGACATGGGTTCATGTCCCGGTCCGGGAAGATCCCACATGCCGCGGAGCGGCTGGGCCCGTGAGCCATGGCCGCTGAGCCTGCGAGTCCGGAGCCTGTGCTCCACAACGGGAGGGGCCACAATAGTGAGAGGCCCGCGTACCGCAAAAAAAAAATAAAAAATAAAAAATAATAAAGGGATACTAGAAGAAAAAAAATCAAAGTTGCTTTTTGAGCATAAACCATGCAATATGCTTGTTTAACAAACCAGT